TGTTAAAGTCTCTACCCATAGACTCCAATGTTAAAGTCTCTACCCATAGACTCCAAAGTTAAAGTTTCACATAGAGTCGAATGTTAAAGTTTCACATAGACTCCAATGTTAAAGTCTACCCATAGACTCCAATGTTAAAGTCTCTACCCATAGACTCCAATGTTAAAGTCTCTACCCATAGACTCCAATGTTAAAGTCTCAGACTCCAATGTTAAAGTCTCTACCCATAGACTCCAAAGTTAAAGTCTCTACCCATAGACTCCAATGTTAAAGTCTCTACCCATAGACTCTGATGTTGTCTGTGTGTCTCTCCCTTGTCGTGGGACTTTGTAGGGTGATCGTTGAGGTTTATAAGGGGCACAGGGTGACCAATCTGGTCTCACTTGGTCTGTAGTAAGTTGGGGCACTGACAAGGGGTTGACAGCTCCACTCACCACACAGAGACCCACAGACTCACACAGAGACCCACAGACTCACCACCACTCAGAGACCCATAGACTCACAGAGACCCATAGACTCACCACTCACACAGAGACCCATAGACTCACAGAGACCCATAGACTCACAGAGACCCATAGACTCACAGAGACCCACAGACTCACCACTCACACAGAGACCCATAGTCTCACAGAGACCCATAGACTCACAGAGACCCATAGACTCACCACTCACACAGAGACCCATAGTCTCACAGAGACCCATAGACTCACAGAGACCCATAGACTCACCACTCACACAGAGACCCATAGACTCACAGAGACCCATAGACTCACAGAGACCCACAGACTCACCACTCACACAGAGACCCATAGACTCACAGAGACCCATAGACTCACAGAGACCCATAGACTCACCACTCACACAGAGACCCATAGATTCACAGAGACCCATAGACTCACAGAGACCCATAGACTCACCACTCACACAGAGACCCATAGACTCACCACTCACACAGAGACCCATAGACTCACAGAGACCCATAGACTCACAGAGACCCATAGACTCACCACTCACACAGAGACCCATAGATTCACAGAGACCCATAGACTCACCACTCACACAGAGACCCATAGACTCACAGAGACCCATAGACTCACAGAGACCCATAGACTCACCACTCACACAGAGACCCATAGATTCACAGAGACCCATAGACTCACAGAGACTCATAGACTCACAGAGACCCATAGACTCACCACCACACAGAGACCCACAGACTCACAGAGACCCACAGACTCACCACTCACACAGATCCATAGACTCACCACACAGAGACCCACAGACTCACAGAGACCCATAGACTCACAGAGACCCATAGACTCACAGAGACCCATAGACTCACCACCACACAGAGACCCATAGACTCACCACACAGAGACCCACAGACTCACACAGAGACCCACAGACTCACACAGAGACCCACATACTCACACAGAGACCCATAGACTCACAGAGACCCATAGACTCACCACACAGAGACCCACAGACTCACCACCACTCAGAGACCCATAGACTCACAGAGACCCATAGACTCACCACTCACACAGAGACCCATAGACTCACAGAGACGCATAGACTCACAGAGACCCATAGACTCACCACCACACAGAGACCCGTAGACTCACCACACAGAGACCCACAGACTCACCACCACACAGAGACCCACAGACTCACCACCACACAGAGACCCGTAGACTCACCACACAGAGACCCATAGACTCATCACACAGAGACCCACAGACTCACAGAGACCCACAGACTCACCACCACCACACAGAGACCCGTAGACTCACCACCACTACACAGAGACCCATAGACTCACCACACAGAGACCCATAGACTCACAGAGACCCATAGACTCACAGAGACCCATAGACTCACCACCACACAGAGACCCATAGACTCACCACACAGAGACCCACAGACTCACACAGAGACCCACAGACTCACAGAGACCCATAGACTCACAGAAACCCATAGACTCACCACACAGAGACCCACAGACTCACCACCACTCAGAGACCCATAGACTCACAGGGACCCACAGACTCGCCACCACCACACAGAGACTCATAGACTCACCACACAGAGACCCACAGACTCACCACCACCACACAAAGACTCATAGACTCACCACACAGAGACCCATATACTCACCACAGAGAGACCCACAGACTCACCACACAGACACCCACAGACTCATCACACAGAGACCCTTAGACTCACCACACAGAGACCCATAGACTCACCACACACAGACCCATAAACTCACCACACAGAGACCCATGGACTCACCACACACAGACCCATAAACTCACCACACAGAGACCCATGGACTCACCACACACAGACCCATAGACTCACCACACAGAGACCCACAGACTCACAGAGACCCACAGACTCACCACACAGAGACCCATAGACTCACCACACAGAGACCCACGGACTCACCACCACCACCACACAGAGACTCACAGAGACCCACAGACTCACCACACAGAGACCCATAGACTCACCACACAGAGACCCACAGACTCACCACACAGAGACCCACAGACTCACCACACAGAGACCCACAGACTCACAGAGACCCACAGACTCACCACACAGAGACCCACAGACTCACCACACAGAGACCCACAGACTCACCACACAGAGACCCATAGACTCACCACACAGAGACCCACAGACTCACCACACAGAGACCCACAGACTCACCACACAGAGACCCACAGACTCACCACATAGAGACCCATAGACTCACCACACAGAGACCCACAGACTCACAGAGACCCATAGACTCACAGAGACCCACAGACTCACCACACAGAGACCCACAGACTCACCACACAGAGACCCACAGACTCACAGAGACCCACAGACTCACCACACAGAGACCCACAGACTCACCACACAGAGACCCACAGACTCACCACACAGAGACCTACAGACTCACCACCACCACCACACAGAGACCCACAGACTCACAGAGACCCACAGACTCACCACACAGAGACCCACAGACTCACCACCACCACACAGAGACCCATAGACTCACCACACAGAGACCCATAGACTCACCACACAGGGACCCACAGACTCACCACACAGAGACCCACAGACTCACAGAGACCCATAGACTCAACACACAGAGACCCACAGACTCACCACACAGAGACCCATAGACTCACCACACAGAGACCCACAGACTCACCACACAGAGACCCACAGACTCACCACACAGAGACCCACAGACTCACCACACAGAGACCCACAGACTCACAGAGACCCACAGACTCACCACACAGAGACCCAAGGACTCACCATAGGGCACTGATTCACGAGGTTTGGACAGTGAACATTGAACAGTAATCTGATCCTTGATCCAATACTGCCCGGTGCTTTGTCGCCACTACGATAGTGACGGTGGTCGATAAAGCAGCAGTACCACTTTGTGTGCGATGGTGAGGGAGGCGGTGGGATGGGGAAGCTTACTGGCTGGCACCATGCGGATTTAATAGCTGCGCTGGACACTCCTCGGCCATAGGAACGCGGAATTTCCACCACTGTGGGCTCCGTGCAGGAGAGATGTCTTGGCGTACGTCTGCGTGAACTCTAACCATGTACGAAGACAAAGATCGCCCAGGTAGCCTCTAGCAGGGCTGTAGGGGCAAGTGCTGCTAGTGGCGAGTAGCACCACCTATGATGTACACACACACAGACAAAGCTCCCCCAGGTAGCCTCTAGCAGGGCTGTAGGGGCAAGTGCTGCTCGTAGCGAGTAGCAGCGCCTATGAATGCTACCGGCACTGCGTCATAACAGAGGGTATTGGGTGGCCAGCACCACACCACGCCCGACCGCCTTTGTCTCCCCACAGTGGTGATGTTTACTACACATTCACCCACTCACCCACCCACACATTCACCCACACACTCACCCACCCACCCACTCACTCACCCACCCAGTCACTCACCCACCCACCCACCCAGTCACTCACCCACCCACCCACCCACTCCCCCACCCACCCACCCACTCCCCCACCCATTCCCCCACCCACCCACTCCCCCACCCACCCACCCACTCCTCCACCCACCCACCCACTCCCCCATCCACCCACCCACTCCCCCACCCACACACCCACTCCCCCACCCACACACTAACCCACCGACTCACTCACCCACCCACTCACCCATCCACCCACTCACGCACTCACATACTCACCCACCCACTCACCCACCAACCCACCCACTCACCCACCCACGCACTCACCCACCCACATACTCACCCACCCACCCACTCACCCACTCACCCACATACTCACCCACTCACCCATCCACCCACTCACCCACACACTCACCCACCCACCCACTCACCCACCCACTCACCCACCCACGCACTCACCCACATACTCACCCACCCACCCACTCACCCACCCACCCACTCACCCACCCACCCACCCACTCACCCACCCACCCACTCACCCACATACTCACCCACTCACCCACATACTCACCCACTCACCCATCCACCCACTAACCCATCCACCCACTCACCCATCCACCCACTCACCCACCCACTAACCCACCCACATACTCACCCACCCACTCACCCACCCACCCACTAACCCACCCACCCACTAACCCACCCACTCACCCACCCACCCACTCCCCCACCCACCCACCCACTCCCCCACCCACCCACTCACTCACCCATCCACCCACCCACCCACTCACTCACCCACCCACCCACCCACTCACCCACCCACCCACTCACCCACATACTCACCCACCCACTCACCCACCCACTCACCCACCCACCCATCCACCCACCCACCCACTCACTCACCCACTCACCCACCCACCCACCCACTCACCCACATACTCACCCACCCACTCACCCACCCACCCACTCACCCACCCACCCACTCACCCACCCACTCACCCATCCACCCACCCACTCACCCACCCACCCACTAACCCACCCACCCACCCACCCCGCAGGTCTCCCACTACATCATTAACAGCCTACCGGGGCGCTTCAAGATCGGCGACCAGGAGTTCGACAACCTCCCTGCTCTCCTCGAGTTCTACAAGATCCACTACCTGGACACCACCACGCTGATCGAGCCCGTGGCCCGGAACAACGTGACCTCCCAGCAGCAGCAGCAGCAGCACCTGGCGTCCGTCGTCGCTGGCTCGCTGTGCCCGGTGCCACCCAGCGAGGACAACTGCGAGTACGTGCGGGCACTGTTTGACTTCAAGGTGAGATATAGTAGTGTATAGTGTATAGTAGTGTATAGTAGTGTAGTGTGTAGTGTAGTGTGTAGTAGTGTAGTGAGTACGTGCGGGCCCTGTTTGACTTCAAGGTGAGATTTAGTGTAGTGTATAGTGTATAGTAGTGTATAGTAGTGTAGTGTGTAGTGTAGTGTGTAGTAGTGTAGTGAGTACGTGCGGGCCCTGTTTGACTTCAAGGTGAGATTTAGTAGTGTATAGTGTAGTGTATAGTGTAGTGTAATGTATAGTGTAGTGTAGTGTATAGTGTAGTGTATAGTGTAGTGTATAGTGTAGTGTATAGTAGTGTAGTGAGTACGTGCGGGCACTGTTTGACTTCAAGGTGAGATTTAGTGTAGTGTATAGTGTATAGTAGTGTATAGTAGTGTAGTGTGTAGTAGTGTAGTGAGTACGTGCGGGCCCTGTTTGACTTCAAGGTGAGATATAGTAGTGTATAGTGTAGTGTATAGTGTAGTGTAGTGTGTAGTGTAATGTATAGTGTAGTATGTAGTGTAGTGTATAGTGTAGTGTGTAGTGTAGTGTATAGTGTAGTGTATAGTGTAGTGTATAGTGTAGTGTATAGTGTAGTGTATAGTAGTGTAGTGAGTACGTGTGGGCACTGTTTGACTTCAAGGTGAGATTTAGTGTAGTGTATAGTGTATAGTAGTGTATAGTAGTGTAGTGTGTAGTGTAGTGTGTAGTAGTGTAGTGAGTACGTGCGGGCACTGTTTGACTTCAAGGTGAGATATAGTAGTGTATAGTGTATAGTAGTGTATAGTAGTGTAGTGTGTAGTGTAGTGTGTAGTAGTGTAGTGAGTACGTGCGGGCACTGTTTGACTTCAAGGTGAGATATAGTAGTGTATAGTGTAGTGTATAGTGTAGTGTATAGTGTAGTGTATAGTGTAGTGTATAGTGTAGTGTATAGTGTAGTGTATAGTGTAGTGTATAGTAGTGTAGTGAGTACGTGCGGGCACTGTTTGACTTCAAGGTGAGATTTAGTGTAGTGTATAGTGTATAGTAGTGTATAGTAGTGTAGTGTGTAGTGTAGTGTGTAGTAGTGTAGTGAGTACGTGCGGGCACTGTTTGACTTCAAGGTGAGATATAGTAGTGTATAGTGTAGTGTATAGTGTAGTGTAATGTATAGTGTAGTGTAGTGTATAGTGTAGTGTATAGTGTAGTGTATAGTGTAGTGTATAGTGTAGTGTATAGTAGTGTAGTGAGTACGTGCGGGCACTGTTTGACTTCAAGGTGAGATTTAGTGTAGTGTATAGTGTATAGTAGTGTATAGTAGTGTAGTGTGTAGTGTAGTATGTAGTAGTGTAGTGAGTACGTGCGGGCACTGTTTGACTTCAAGGTGAGATATAGTAGTGTATAGTGTAGTGTATAGTGTAGTGTATAGTGTAGTGTATAGTGTAGTGTATAGTGTAGTGTATAGTGTAGTGTATAGTAGTGTAGCGAGTACGTGCGGGCACTGTTTGACTTCAAGGTGAGATTTAGTGTAGTGTATAGTGTATAGTAGTGTATAGTAGTGTAGTGTGTAGTGTAGTGTATAGTAGTGTAGTGAGTACGTGCGGGCACTGTTTGACTTCAAGGTGAGATTTAGTGTAGTGTATAGTGTATAGTAGTGTATAGTAGTGTAGTGTGTAGTAGTGTAGTGAGTACGTGCGGGCCCTGTTTGACTTCAAGGTGAGATATAGTAGTGTATAGTGTAGTGTATAGTGTAGTGTGTAGTGTAATGTATAGTGTAGTGTGTAGTGTATAGTGTAGTGTATAGTGTAGTGTATAGTGTAGTGTATAGTGTAGTGTATAGTGTAGTGTATAGTAGTGTAGTGAGTACGTGCGGGCACTGTTTGACTTCAAGGTGAGATTTAGTGTAGTGTATAGTGTATAGTAGTGTATAGTAGTGTAGTGTGTAGTAGTGTAGTGAGTACGTGCGGGCACTGTTTGACTTCAAGGTGAGATATAGTGTAGTGTATAGTGTAGTGTATAGTGTAGTGTATAGTGTAGTGTATAGTAGTGTAGTGAGTACGTGCGGGCCCTGTTTGACTTCAAGGTGAGATATAGTGTATAGTGTAGTGTATAGTGTAGTGTATAGTAGTGTATAGTGTAGTGTGTAGTGTATAGTGTATAGTAGTGTAGTGTATAGTGTATAGTAGTGTAGTGTATAGTAGTGTAGTGTATAGTAGTGTATAGTGTAGTGAGTATGTGCGGGCCCTGTTTGACTTCAAGGTGAGTCGTAGTAGTGTATAGTGTAGTGTATAGTAGTGTAGTGTATAGTGTCGTGTATAGTGTAGTGTATAGTAGTGTATAGTAGTGTAGTGTATAGTGTAGTGTAGTGTATAGTGTAGTGTATAGTAGTGTATAGTAGTGTAGTGTAGAGTAGTGTAGTGTGTAGTGTATAGTAGTGTGTAGTGTAGTGTATAGTGTAGTGTATAGTGTATAGTGTAGTGTATAGTAGTGTAGTGTGTAGTGTATAGTAGTGTGTAGTGTAGTGTATAGTATAGTGTATAGTGTAGTGTATAGTGTAGTGTATAGTGTAGTGTGTAGTAGTGTAGTGTATAGTGTAGTGTATAGTGTAGTGTATAGTGTAGTGTATAGTGTAGTGTGTAGTGTAGTGTATAGTGTAGTGTATAGTGTAGTGTGTAGTGTAGTGTATAGTAGTGTATAGTGTAGTGTATAGTAGTGTATAGTAGTGTATAGTGTAGTGTATAGTGTAGTGTATAGTGTAGTAGTGTATAGTAGTGTAGTGTATAGTGTAGTGTATAGTGTAGTGTGTAGTGTATAGTAATGTATAGTGTAGTGTATAGTAGTGTAGTGTATAGTAGTGTAGTGTATAGTAGTGTAGTGTATAGTAGTGTAGTGTATAGTGTAGTGTATAGTGTAGTGTATAGTAGTGTAGTGTATAGTGTAGTGTATAGTAGTGTATAGTAATGTAGTGTATAGTAGTGTATAGTGTATAGTAGTGTATAGTGTAGTGTATAGTCTAGTGTGTAGTAGTGTATAGTGTAGTGTATAGTGGTGTATAGTGTAGTGTGTAGTGTAGTGTATAGTGTAGTGTATAGTGTAGTGTATAGTGTAGTGTATAGTGTAGTGTATAGTAGTGTATAGTAGTGTATAGTGTAGTGTATAGTGTAGTAGTGTATAGTAGTGTAGTGTATAGTGTAGTGTGTAGTGTAGTGTATAGTGTAGTGTGTAGTGTAGTGTATAGTGTAGTGTATAGTGTAGTGTGTAGTGTATAGTGTAGTGTATAGTAGTGTATAGTGTAGTGTGTAGTGTAGTGTGTAGTGTATAGTGTAGTGTATAGTAGTGTATAGTGTAGTGTGTAGTGTATAGTAGTGTAGTGTATAGTGTAGTGTATAGTAGTGTATAGTAGTGTAGTGTATAGTAGTGTAGTGTGTAGTGTATAGTAGTGTGTAGTGTATAGTGTAGTGTATAGGAGTGTAGTGTATAGTGTAGTGTATAGTAGTGTAGTGTATAGTAGTGTATAGTAGTGTAGTGTATAGTAGTGTATTGTGTAGTGTATAGTAGTGTATAGTAGTGTATAGTGTAGTGTATATTGTAGTGTATAGTGTAGTGTATAGTGTAGTAGTGTATAGTAGTGTAGTGTATAGTGTAGTGTATAGTAATGTATAGTGTAGTGTATAGTAGTGTAGTGTATAGTGTAGTGTATAGTAGTGTATAGTGTAGTGTATAGTGTAGTGTATAGTAGTGTAGTGTATAGTGTAGTGTATAGTAGTGTAGTGTATAGTGTAGTGTATAGTAGTGTATAGTGTATAGTAGTGTAGTGTATAGTGTAGTGTATAGTGTAGTGTATAGTCTAGTGTGTAGTAGTGTATAGTCTAGTGTGTAGTAGTGTATAGTGTAGTGTATAGTAGTGTATAGTGTAGTGTGTAGTGTATAGTGTAGTGTATAGTGTAGTGTATAGTGTAGTGTGTAGTGTATAGTGTAGTGTATAGTAGTGTATAGTGTAGTGTAGTGTATAGTGTAGTGTATAGTAGTGTGTAGTGTAGTGTATTGTAGTGTAGTGTATAGTGTAGTGTATAGTAGTGTAGTGTATAGTGTAGTGTATAGTGTAGTGTATAGTAGTGTGCATAGTAGTGTATAGTGAAGTGTATAGTGTAGTGTATAGTGTAGTGTATAGTAGTGTGTATAGTAGTGTGTATAGTAGTGTATAGTGTAGTGTATAGCGTATAGTGTATAGTAGTGTGTAGTAGTGTATAGTGTTGTGTATAGTAGTGTAGTGTATTGTATAGTGTAGTGTATAGTGTGTAGTTGTGTAGTGTATAGTGTAGTGTATAGTAGTGTAGTGAGTACATAGGTGAGGTCGTAGTGTAGTGTATAGTAGTGTATAGTGTAATAGTGTGTAGTGCATAGTGTGTAGTGTAATAGTGTGTAGTGCATAGTGTGTAGTGTGTAGTGTATAGTATAGTGTAGTGTGTAATAGTGTAGTGTATAGTATAGTAGTGTATAGTAGTGTAGTGTGTAGTATAGTCGTGTATAGTATAGTAGTGTATAGTATAGTAGTGTATAGTGTAATAATGTATAGTGTGTAGTGTATAGTGTGTAGTGTATAGTGTAGTGTAGTGTGTAGTAGTGTATAGTGTAGTGTATAGTAGTGTAGTGTGTAGTGTATAATGTAGTGTATAGTAGTGTAGTGTGTAGTAATGTGTAGTGTGTAGTAGTGTATAGTGTAGTGTATAGTAGTGTAGTGTATCGTAGTGTAGTGTGTAGTAGTGTAGTGTATAGTGTAGTGTATAGTGTAGTGTATAGTAGTGTAGTGTGTAGTAGTGTATAGTGTAGTGTATAGTAGTGTAGTGTGTAGTAGTGTATAGTGTAGTGTATAGTATAGTGTAGTGTGTAGTAGTGTATAGTGTAGTGTATAGTAGTGTAGTGTATAGTGTAATAGTGTGTCGTGTATAGTGTAGTGTATAGTGTATAGTATAGTGTGTAGTGTATAGTGTAGTGTGTAGTATAGTCGTGTATAGTATAGT